TCTCTCTCTCTCTCTCTCTCTCTCTCTCTCTCTCTCTCTCTCTCTCTCTCTCTCTCTCTCTCTGTGTGTGTGTGTGTGTGTTTGTGTGTGTGTGTCTGTGTGTGTGACGCGGCAGAGGCAGAGCAGTGAGTCTAGGAGAGAGCGAGAGTGAGAGCACACACACACAATCACTCACCTCGCCGCAGACTCGACACGACTCGACAGACGCAGACACAAAGTGGCGAAGTCGCAAAGTCGCAGTCTTGAATTCCCGAACACAATGCCGAAGCAAAGTCACACTGAACACAAGCACTGCGGCTGAAAACTTGGTGCCTGTACTGGGCTTGAGTCCGGACATAAGTACCGGACTCAGGTACGGTCGTGAGAGCAAAAGTGAAAATGCCTCAGGGCCAGTACTGAAAATCGAAAGTCTGAGAGTGGGCGCCAGAATGTCGGATGACGCCAAGTGTCCGAAATCCGAAAGTCCCAAAAGAAGGATGTTGAAAACGGGTGCCAGAATGCAGATGGTGCCAACTGTCTGAAATCAGAAGAGCAAAAACGAGAAAAAAATTCAAAAAAAGTTCAAAAAACAATAAAATTGTAAAAAAAAAAAAAAAAAGGAATAAATACAGCAAGCTGGCGGCTGGTAGCGCGCATACCAGGGATTGAGTCCTGGTGGAGTCCGTAACACTATCCCCTCCCTCTAGAAGGCAACGTCCCGGCTGCCAAAACTCGTGAAAATAATGCTGAATCCTGTGAAGGACGGCACGGGGCCGATCACTGGGAAGCAGGAAGAAAAATGGAGAGGGGTATAATGTGGGTAACAAGGGCTGGGGAAAACAGGGTTTTCCTACTGATGAGCTACGGGTTAGGCGTACTGATGGACCACTGAGAGGGAACATAGTCTGCCTACTAATGAACTACAGGGTTAGGAACTGCAGGGGAGCAGGGTTGTCCTACTGATGGACTACAGGGTTATCATCTGAGGGGAGAACAGGGTTGTCGTACTGCTGAACTATTGGGAGAAAAGGGTTCTGTGAGCAAAAGTAAAGACAGGAAAATTATTTTGCAGTGTTCAGGGGTTAGGGTTTCTGAGGATCTCGGAGTGACTAGGGTTGGGGGGTAAATCGCAGGTTCTACAAAATGGCCTGGCTGAGAGTCTTGAAGCAGGTCTTGAAGTAAGTCCAGGTACAAAATGCTGATGATAAACCAGTCTTCAGCAGGCTTGCGACGTGTAGTAGCGAGTGTTGCGGCTTGAACGAAGTAGTGTAGCAGTCCAATAGATGAAGGTCCAAGTGCCAGGGTGCGTCCTCTACACGATCCTGATGATGAAGTCTGATCTGGATAGCAGGTCGCAGACTGATCCTGAT